TTTTTTCTATCAATTCAATATAAAATTTTTTTAATTAAAAAAATATTGAGATGTAGTTTAATTGGGCCGCCAGCCAGTATATATTATCTATGTGTATACCCGTCTGTTTTGCTTTAACATAACTGTGAGATCTATCTTATACACGGTTGTGAAACATGGAATCACTCTATACATATAGAAAGAAAAATGTAAGTTTTTCACAACAAGTGTCTACTTAGAACTCTCAAAATATGTTGGACAGATCGACTCAAAAATCAGCACAAAATAAGATAAAAATAAGAAAGTGGAAGTGAATAAGCTATTCGCTTAGAAAACCAAGGGATTGCAAGCATTGGCATGGAAGACACAAGACAGCAGAAGACTTGGTACGCCAACGAAAACGTGAAAAAGAACGGTCGAAAATGAGTAAGCACTAATGAGAAGAGCACCAAATAGATTCAGATTTAGAAGAATTATTCAGGCTCTATGCCCCACTGAGGCAAATGAATAATAGTAGTAGTAGTAGTAATATCTCTTGAGACCAACTTTCGTGATTTCTTCGTAATTAACCGTGTTTTCGGTTTTAAGGTTTGTAGAATACTTCCAAAACGAATCAACAGATGTCTTCCGAAAATATATTAATTGTAATTAAAAAATAAGAATCTGGTGCTGAAGATGTAAACATGTGTCAAAGCAGATGTGTTAACAATTTTCACGTTCGAATATAGAGATCAAAATGGGTTTCACTGTACCAAAAAATTTGGAGCTTTCTTAAGCTGTTATATACCTTATACTATTATATATACCCACATTAGGAGGATGTTCTGTTATAGTTTTATTCATATCCATTTGTCATCATATCGGGCTTGTATTTTATCATTAAAAATATAATATTAATATTTTATATATACTTTATTAAACCCATATCCTTACGTTCGAATAGTAATGAATAGACAACAACAAATATTTTAATTAATTTATTGAAGTTTGGCTGACTATACAACGTTGTTTCCAATATTACTAAGTACTTATCATCCGTGGTCTAAGGAAATATTCGAATTTTTTAAATAGTTTGTAGTCCGTATATAATTTGTTTGGACTGCAAGTATCAGGCCAGAAATTCTATTATATATCTAAGAATTATAGGTGCTATTGCACAGAAATATATATTTTCGTAAGTACTGTTTCGTAAATATTCGCTATCATTGGTCTCTGGATGTTTTTAGGTCAACCTATCAATATTTATGTATTTTTTTGAAGTAACAGAGATTTAACACTTGTTGATTGAAATCGAAACTGACCCATTAATTAACCCATTTTAATCCACTTTTTATAATTTTTAATAAAAAAAAAATATTCATCTCTTATGAATTTTTATTTTTAGGAGAATTATCTCTATTTTTAGGATTAACCCAAAAGATATATTATTCAATATATTATCATTAAATATAGATTACGATAAAGTTGAATAATATATTTAACTTTTATGAATTTTTTATTTATAGAAGAATTATCTGTATATGTAGGACTTTTATCTAAATGATTAATTATTCAAAATATAATCATGATTAATAGCGAATGTACACAATATGATCCTTATGTGAGAAAAAAAATTAACTTTGTGTAATTTTTATATCTCATGTACCCCACTAAAGTAATAAAATACTAACCCATTTTAGCCATTTTAAAGTATTTCAATACCCAAGAAAGTATAGATCATATCATATATGATCTGATCACTATAAATTTTTTTTACAGTAAAAAGGAAGGATGAACCTACAACGTAAAAATATAACTGCATAATTTTCACCTACTCAACTTTAGTTTTTTCAAAGTTTGAAATCCCTTTTTTTATTGTCGGAAAATACTTGAGAAAAGTGCTCCCAAATATTGGGAAATGAGAAAAAATAAAGACCACTAACCCTTACTACCCTTAATAGTAAAATATTTATTAACATTTTAGAAATAGTTTGAGCAATTAAAATTGTTTATATTTAAATACTAATTAGAACCAATAGTTGAAAAAAAATCCAAATTATACATTTAAGTTTATCATTTCTATTTATAATTTGGGTTCATTATAAAATTATATTAAAATTCTGAAATTTTCGCAATGGTAATTCTTGTACCAGCGATTCAAATGGATCCATTTAGGCCTATTGCATCTTTGTGTTTTGAACCTTTATCTTGAACCTTTAGCAAAGCTTTAATTGCTATTGAATGCAAGTTTTTTGCCAAGATTTTCGAAATAGGAGGCCTCCAGAGCAGTAAAGCGGGAAGAAGCCTCGCTTGTGTTTTTAGAAGTATTTTTAAAAAAAATAATTTATGCTTTACCTCAACTTTTGCATATATACACTTAATTGCAGTTGAATGAAATTTTGTAAATTCTGTTACTAAAATACTTATATCTTATTTCTTTCTTATTTCTGATTCGTAAGCTATTTTTAAATAATAATTTGACAGGCACTTTACATATAACGTATACTAATATAAAGAAACTATTAAAGTAAAAATTTTTACTGTACAAATTCAATTTTGATTTTACCAACCCATGGATCTCAGATTTAGGCTCAAATAATACATCATAAGAGAATGGCTGAAAATACCAACTTAAAGGTGACCAGAAAGTAATACGAAACCGGTTCCGGTAAGGCAGCTTAATAAGTCTCTCAAAAAAGCTGTGTTTTAGTCCGTATACTACATATTGATATGTTATGACATTTGATACGAATTGGGTACGCCATTCCTACGACATTCGTCTGGACGGTGCATAAATGATTCTATTTCCTGCCCACAAAAATAAAAACCCATGGATTGTTACATATCATATCCCTTTAAGCTCCCATTCAATAATATTAAATTAGACATTTTATTAAAATTAGTGGGACAATTTCCACGTGCAACACAGCCAATAAATAAGTAAATAAATAGAACTTAATCACATTTTGACACATATATAATGTGTAGGACCAGATTATACTATACAAAATTAAAAAACGAGAGTATTTTCGTATGTTTTCTTTAATTACAGACCCTTAATACAAAATAAATTCACTTTTTAGTAAATAAAAATTCATTTGCATGTAAATGTCTTTTAAAATCTTTAACAAAATAAACTGGGCAATAATAACAACAATTTTACAAAAAAAAAATTGCTTGATTTAATTAACACAAATTGCAACCCTGCACGCGTGCATTTAAATTCCTACGACACACAAACACATATGTTGTATACCTACATAATAATATGTATGGTATATCCTTAACTGTGGCAACATCGTTTGCATATTTTGCATATGGAATGTCACAATTGTTGCATTCGAGAAACTAAAAATTGCTGCTAAATTAAAACTAATTGCCAGTTCCATGTAAAATATTAAATGCAATCAAAGTAATTAAAAACATTTTAATTACATGCCAAAGTAATTCACTGCCTACGGCGAGGTTTGGTGAGTGAACCGATTTATGTCTTCATACACTGACACATAATTGTTTACATTGCGACACTAATTTAATATTTGTCGTTAAACATATTTACAAACAATTTAGGTCAATAATTAACAATTTTGGTACAAATCATGCAAAGTCAAAACTCTCCACTACCAAACGCACACACACACACATATACGCACACGATCATATCCGTATACACACTGACATACTTCGCTCAGTTTGCAGTGCAGCTGTGCTGTGTTGCAGCGGCCATTTTGCATTTTATGGCACGACATACACAAATCGCCCGCCTATCATGACAAATTGTCATTAAAAAAGGATTTCTGTTTTCAAATAGGAAAGTAATTTTTACATATTTTTAAATTGTTGGCATTTTTCACAGGATACAGGGTGTAAGCCACAGCAAGTAATTACGTTATTTATCTTGTTTGAAAACGAGCAGGCATAAATGTCAATTAAATACACTAAATACACTTACGGGGAACTGGTAGGAGGGGCTGTTTAATTCTAAAAACAAACAAATTTAGTTTTTAATATTTTTAAAATCGCTTACAAACTTACATTGCACGCGTGCGGTTAATTGCTTTTATTAAATTTTAATTATGTAATTTTCAGTTTCGAATTTATTTTAATCTAATGAAAATTGAAGTGAATTAAGTTGATTAAAACTATTTGCATGCATGCATAAAATATTTACAGATGCGGACATAACACTTAAGGATACGGCGCGGAAATTTGGACCTGGTGGTCAAACGCTAACGCCACGTCATACCATCGATGCCATACTTGGTCTGAAAAATCGTGCTGAAAATGCTGAAGGTAAGTCAAACGACCTTTTTATGATATGTAAATATTCAAATTAAAAAGGAATTTTATAATATATACAAATTAGTGCATCAGGTAAACAATTTAAAAGCTAACCCTTCCCCTCCAGTACAAGCAAATACATTTGAAATTGACTACGTTTGCTTTTATATTGGATATATGTATATTTTTTTATTTTTTTTTTTTGCACTTTTAGCGTTTTAATTACAGAAAATATCAATTAATTACGCATTTCAATTACGAAATCAATTGAGTTAATTAAAGCCCCGTGGTTTAATTATTTTAGACAACAGCACTAACAACAGCACTAACAACAGCACTAACAACAGCACTAACAACATCACTAATAACATCACTAACACAACAACAACAAACAATTCTAATGCATTTTAATTAGTTTTGACATTTCGTTATTTACAAAACACATACAAACACATATATGCATGCATGCTATTGTGCATAATATATGAGTACAGTATTTTGGTTTTATTCTGCTAATACCAGTACATATTGCAATTTAATCACTCACACAGTCGCACACAGCCATCCACATAACAGTCACACACAGTCAAGGCACATACGCAGAGTCGCATTAGCTGCTCATACAATTCCACATGTCAAATGTGACATTAAAATTCGTTCCTGGCTCAGTCATGGCATTTAATTGCGCCAAAAGGTTTTACATATAATTAAACACATTTACGATTTAATTAAATTGTGTGTTTCATTTCGTGGCCTGTGTAAGTACACAACTCTTGTATTATTAGGAATAATTAACTAAATATTATTTGATTTGTATATAATTGCTTTCGATATCAGCGATCTTATTTGCGCGATTATCAACAATGAACATAGCAAAGTTTAAAAGGAAATACCAGTTATTCGGCACTATAACATTATCCATATTTATTTGAAAAATATTTTTGAACTCACAAGAAAATATTTGAATCCGATCGGGAATTTCCTAGAAACAACTATTAAATGACAAGTTTTTATAGTAACATATATATACTTATTGGTGTCTTATTGGTAATTAAAATCAATATTACAGATTGAGTTCAAAAAATACAATAGACAAAGTCAGGTGGGACCACATGCAAAAACTCCGCTTATGCATATTATAGAATACTTTAATAAAATATCAATACCTCTAGCTCAAAAAGTACCCGGATTTTGTTGTTTGTTAACTACTCTTTAAGTAATAGATCTTTTCCAAACATTTTGTTTTTGTTATGTTGGTACACCCTTTCTTGACATATGGTATAAATTTGAGGTATATCTTTAACTTCAAAAGAAATCTCAAAATATCGATAATTGAAGAAGTCTTGCAGACATGACGATATATCAAAAAATTGATCGATTTCAATATATGGCCATCTATGTAAACATAATTGAACATAGGATTAAAATGTCTTTAACGACATTTTGCGTCCATATCTTAAAGACTTATCGAATAAATTTTAAAGATAAATAGACACATATCACACGTCTCTACAGACGTGAGTCGTCCTTAGCCGCGTCGAGTAGCCTCCGTCAGCCAGCCCGATCAGTTGCTTGCTGTCGCAGTCGTTGATCACCTGACCCTTTCACCGAAGATGCAAAAGTCCTCCACTGCGTTTTTTACCTGACAGCACCGAATCAAACATCTTTCCAGCCGCAGTACCTTTTTCCATTCGCACAACATGACCACGCCAGCGAAACTGCTAAATTTTTGTGCGCTTAACTATGTTAATGTCGCGTTTTAACTCATACAACTCATTGTACCATCTAATTTGATACTCGTAGCCAACGCATAAGGTACCATAGATCTTCCGAAGAATTTTTCTCTCGAATGCTTCTAACGCCTTGTTATCACTGTTGGTAATTGTTCAACTTCTGCACCATACAGTGGGTCAGACATAATTAGAGACTTGTAGAATGTGATTTTTGTTTGTTGAGAAAGGGCTTTATTTCTCAATTGATTACTTAACCAGACATAATATCTGTTGGCAAAAGTGAGTCTAAGTGGAGTCTTTAGTCTGGTATCACTTTTGGTGTTTACAGTGATTTTCAAATAAACAAAGTCTTTCACAACTTCGAACTTATAATTGCCACCAGTAACCTGGATCCCAAGACCCTCAGAAAATTGCTTTATTGACAGAAAGAACTTTGTTCTTATTTACTACAAATTTGCTTCAATCTTAATGTAAAGCGCTCTATTAAGATAATTTCGAGTAAAATATCTTTGATATAATTTTGCTTACATATCTTGAAAACAATACGTAAACAATGTGTACCGATTGCTCTATAGCGAATCTATCTTACAGACAAATAAAAATTTCAATGAAATTTTGAAAATGAAATCTTCAGACAAATGTGTAAAAGCTTTGTGTTATCTTGCGTGTAATAAAATTAGTCTATATATGTCTTGAGTATCGAATGTGTATATGTACGTCACAATGTCCAGATTAAGAAACGGTCGTTGAGTTGTATTATTATTATTTCTGTTATCTAAAATAATTAAGCCACGGAGCTTGATTTAGTAATTGAAATGCCTAATTAATTAATATTTTTTTGTAATTACAGCGCTAACAATTAAAAAACAACAATTTAAATGCATATAGGTATATAGTACAAATAATAATATGATATCGAAACAGTACTGCAACCAACCAAGTTAGTCAACGGATATTTTTCCATTAAACATTCTATATTATATATATTATATATTATGTATTATATATTATAATTATATATTTCAACCTTAAGGAACCTTCATGACCCCTCGCTGAGCCCAGAACTCCTCTTAGATATTTCAATAGTTTGGGTCGTCTTCATTGTTAAGAATATTAACTTTCCAAACATATATAATATAAAAATGCGTATTCAATTACCACATACATTTATCCACTTTCAGTTTATATATATTATATATATATTATATATATATTATATATATATTATATATGTTATATATTATATATGATGTATTATGTATTATACATTATAGTTATATACTTCAACTTTAAGGAACCTTCATGACCTCTCGTTGAGCCCAGAACTCCTCTTAGATATTTCTTTAAAAACAACAAACTAGTTCAACCCATGTTTACTTTGCGGGTGTCTAAGCTATATATACATGTATATATCTCGAAATTAAGGTTTTAGAAAGGTGGGTATATAATTTTTGCTTAACAGGATAAAGATAATTATTAAAACAGCAAGTAATTAAATTAGATCTTAACAAAGTTTGTTTAATTGAAATTATATTTTAACCAAAATACTTCAAAATACATTTGCCAAATCGACTACTAACATTGATTATCATATAAAATTTCATTTAATGGACTTTTAACTACATTCATGTGTATAGAAGCTTGCCAATACTTCGTATTCCGGTGCATTGTCCAATGATTTGCAGCCAAGAAAATTGTGTGGACTTATATATTGATTTCCTTTAATATTTCCTTTGAGATCAATTTTATCAGCTCGTATTTGTGTTTTCGCATGACATATATGATATATCTTATCATATATGATATATATATCCGCAGATATATATATGACTAAAGATATGTAATAAGACATTTTCTTGTAAAATGTTTGAATAAGTATATATGTGTAATGAACATATGATAAAATCTACCTGCTTGTATATATGTCTTATCTGGTAATAAAGAAAATTTGATCAAATAAACTAAATTGAACTATAAATCATTCAAAAAACAGTTAATAATTTTGTTGTAGAAAATAATATAAAATTTTTTGTCATTATTGCAAATAAACGAGTTACTCTTTATAAATGAGTTAAGGTGCAATAAAGTTATAATCATAGGGATATGTACTAGTTTTATATATTAGTGAAAGGATAAGCCGAATTAACTTAATCCTTTTAGTTTTCTCATCAAAAATTTGTGTGTTATCAAATGCCGTGCATCTAAAAGTTTTAAAGAAATTGCTGAAGTCTAAGGTCTCAATATGTTTGGTGGCACGGCCCGGGCACCGTTGGTGGAGTGAGGGTGTGATAGTTCAATCTAAATCCACCTACAATTTCCTACAAAACGTTATTTAACTTAAGCCGAAGAAAGCAAATTATCTGCGATTGCATACGCCCATCAGAGCCATTAAAAAGTGCTAATATAATTTTGTGATTGTGTTTACTGATTTTCAATGAATTTGTGTACCCAGTTTAGTGCTTTTTGCACCTTCGCCTTTATCTCAATTTTTATTTGATTTCACATTTCACTCTGCCGTGTTGCCAACTGTCGTGTTTCATGTCTGAAAATTGTGTTTGAGCCATAATTGCAATCGATTGATAAACATTGGCCAAAAAAACAAAAAAAAAACTCATGGAAAACAGTGAACAGTGGAAATAAATTGCACTTTCCTTATCAACTTATCTTGTGCATGAGTCTTATGCGATTATGATTACCCTTGTTAACATATTTTCTTTTCCTCTTCCTGTTCCTTTACATTTCTGTTATTCAACCGTTCAACCGCTCCACTATTCAACCGCTCAACTGTTGACGTTCACCGTTTCAAAGCACGTCATGTTAATTCGCTCACCGGGTCTGCGAGGGGCTAACAACGCAACCCTATCGCAAATCTATTCCATTTTTTTCTATGTTTTTAATTTCCTTTTACTTCTGTTGATTTGTTTAGTTTTTGTGGTATTTGTCATTGCATTTGTTTTAATTTAATGCTATTTTTTATACTTTATTCTTTGTTTCTACAATTTTGCATTTTGTTGTTGGTTACTGGTTACTGGAAACCAATGGTAATGCGAAAATAATGGGCTTTGATTATGAGGTCCAAGTAAACTCACTTCGTACGTACTTTATTTTATGTAAAATTATTATTTACCCTTATTTACTATTAAAATGTGTAATTTTCCATATTTTTAATTGAGCTTTGCTTATATTGGTTAGCTCGGATATTGCAGTTTTGTGGGTTATAAAACACTAACTATAGTATGATTTATTATTATAGTGATAAAATTTGATTAATTGATGTAT